GGGGGGGGGGGGGGGTGTGCAGTTCAAGGAGAAAGACTGAAAACTAGAACATAAAAATTACTATTACTAGAAAGAAAAGGAGTTGGAGGAAACTAGAGTCCTGAGGAGAGGCAAACAGGGAAGAAAAAGAAGATTCTGGAATGAGTAAGGGAGCGACACTCTCCTGAGTCCAGCTCCTTCCTGGGCCCTCTGGGGAGAGAATTGGCCAGATTCAGCCCTGGGTCCCCCTTCCCCTCCCCAGCTGCTACTTGAAAGCCAGTCTGCACCCCAGCCACCGTCCTTCTGCCGCTTGCCCACCCTTGCTGTTGGACCCTCCCACTGTCTCACAGCCCATCTGCTCCAGGTTCCAGCTGATGATTTTGTCACTTCATGGGCTTGTTTTTCTTTAGACAGTGCAGTTAATCACCCCAGCCACCGTCCTTCTGCCGCTTGCCCACCCTTGCTGTTGGACCCTCCCACTGTCTCGCAGCCCATCTGCTCCAGCTTCCAGCTGATGATTTTGTCACTTCATGGGCTTGTTTTTCTTTAGACAGTGCAGTTAACGCCTTTCTGCAGAATCAAAGTGCCTCATTAGACTGAGAAGGAATCGTGAGGAGACCCCCTCCACACAGAGTTCAGCAGGGAGCCTCACACCTAGCATGGCCCCCATCCCCTGGAGAAAGGGGGTCGGTGCAGTCTCTTCCGAAGGCAGATGTGTGGTGAGAAGTGCTCGCCACCCCTGCTGGGTGACTTTGGGGTGTCCCCCTCTTGGACCTCTGCTTCCCCATCTGGACTGTAAGCATGCTTGGCAAGATGTTTTTTATGTGCCTGGATTCATTCCCAACCTACTCACACAGCCCTTGGTACCGCTGTCTTGCCACTGCGCCTCCACTGTCTCTCATCTCCCCCACCAGCCCGGGCTCTTCTCCAGGGCAGCACTGGGGCCAATTCTTCTTGGTGCCCCACCCCCAGCGTCAAGAAAAGATTGCTGAATCCATCCCACAGGTTGGCTTTTGGGAGAATATCATGTTGGAAGCTGAGGGTACATCCTCTGCCTTCTAGAACCTTAAAGAGAAGCTAGAATCCAAAACTTCAGGTTGAAGGAGACTCAGCAGCCCTAGATGCTGGAGGCTATGAGGTCAAAGGGGGCTTTGTTAAACAGTGGGTAGAGCACTTCAGGAAGGGTGCTCTGGGCAGTGTCCCACATTTGCACTGACCTTGCAGCTGGTGTCAGAGAAGGTTTGGAGGCCATCATGACAGGAAAGGACAGGCCACCAGGAGCCAAGAGCATCTCTATGGCAAGGCAAGTTGGCACAAGAGCAGTGAGAGTCCAGACAGGATTGTTATTTGGAGTCCAGAGAACTGAGTGACCCATTGTGGGCCTGGTAGACAGATGGAAATGGCACTAATCACAGCCATTCTTTGTAAATTCTTTGAGAGAGAAAATAATTAAATTCAGAAGCAGCACTGGTACAGTAGAAGGAGCACTGAGCCTGCAGTCATAAATTTCAGAGCTTTTAAGTATTTAGAGCATACCAATCTTTGCCTAGTAAGCATTTACATATCTTTCCTTCATGTAAAGGGACCTGAGTTTGAATCCTGGCAAGGCACTTCACCTCTCAGCATGGGGAGTGAATCCTGGCACAGTTTTCCTCATCTGCACAAAGGGATGGATGATGGTATTGTCTATGTCAAAAGATAATACAACTGTATGGAAGCAAATGTATGTAAAAGCCTGTAGCATAGCTTTCAGTCCAGGCACGTTTTCCTTCCTTTCTTAAGACCAGTAGTTCTCTGTCATCACTGAACATTTAGAGTCACCAAGGGAGCGTTTTAAAAATACCAATGCTGGTGTTACATTAGTCCATTTTTGTGTTGCTATAACAGAACACCTGCGACTGGGTAACTTATAAAGAAAAGAGGCTTATTTAGCTCATGATTCTTGGGTAGGTGAGTCTGGCCTGGGCCTCAGGCTGCTCCTACCCTGCAGGGCAGCCGCAGGGTACGAGATCACATGGCAAAAGGAAGCAAGAGAGAGAGGAGATGCCAGGCTCCTTTTAACAATCAGCTCTCCTGGGATCTAACAGTGGGAGAACTCATTCCCTCCCCACCCAAAGGAGGGAATTAATCCATTCATGAGGGATCCATCCCCGTGACCCTCGTCCCAACACTGCCACATTGAGGATCAGATTTCAACATGAGCTTTGGGAGGACAGCATATCCAGATTATGTCAGGGGCCATGTTCCAAACCAATTAAAATAGAATCTCTGGGGGTGGGATGCAGGCTTTGGGTTTGTTGGTTTTTTTTTTTTTTTTGACTCCAAGTGAATCTAATGTGCTTTACACAGTGTAGTAATTATCACCCATTCATCACGTATTCATCCATTTCGACCCCAAGAGTGTAGGCTTGATCTACAACAAGGAGTTAAGAACTGTCACTACCCAGATACGGTTGGGTAATAGTCATTTCTCACTTTTCCCCCTCATTAGGACTACTTCCCAGCACCCCAGCCTCCTGCCATGTCTGACCCCATCACATTGAACGTTGGGGGGAAGCTCTACACAACCTCACTGGCAACCCTGACCAGTTTCCCTGACTCTATGCTGGGCGCCATGTTCAGTGGGAAGATGCCCACCAAGAGGGACAGCCAGGGCAACTGCTTCATTGACCGGGACGGCAAAGTGTTCCGCTACATCCTCAACTTCCTGCGGACCTCCCACCTGGACCTTCCAGAGGACTTCCAGGAGATGGGCCTGCTCCGCAGGGAGGCCGACTTCTACCAGGTGCAGCCCCTGATTGAAGCACTGCAGGAGAAGGAGGTGGAGCTCTCCAAGGCCGAGAAGAACGCCATGCTCAACATCACACTGAACCAGCGCGTGCAGACCGTCCACTTCACTGTGCGCGAGGCTCCCCAGATCTACAGCCTGTCCTCTTCCAGCATGGAGGTCTTCAATGCCAACATCTTCAGCACCTCTTGCCTCTTCCTCAAGCTCCTCGGCTCCAAGCTCTTCTACTGCTCCAATGGCAATCTCTCCTCCATCACCAGCCACTTGCAGGACCCCAACCACCTGACTCTGGACTGGGTGGCCAATGTAGAGGGCCTGCCAGAGGAGGAGTACACCAAGCAGAACCTCAAGCGGCTCTGGGTGGTGCCCGCCAACAAGCAGATCAACAGCTTCCAGGTGTTCGTGGAGGAGGTGCTGAAAATCGCTCTGAGCGATGGCTTCTGCATCGACTCTTCTCACCCACACGCTCTGGATTTTATGAACAATAAGATTATTCGATTAATCAGGTACAGGTAAAAGGACCCCAGCAACATTGGAGGGGGGGTCCCAAGAAGCTCCAGGTCAGCCAAGGTCTTGGAGAGTGTCTCGCCACTGGTGCGAGGCAGGGCACTGTACTAATCTGTATTAATTGTGTAGTAGGACTTGATTCCCCCATGATGAAGTCCACCTTTTGGAATCCACATGTCATCTGAACAGACCACCTTTTTTCTTGCCATTTGAGCTGGAGACGGGCAGTTTATTATGACAAGTGAAGAGTCAGCTGGTTTGTACTAAAGGAGGCCACAGGAGGACTTTCTGGCCATTTTTTCATGGGCTCCATCTCTCTTTGTACCACTAGCCAGTGCCTCACTTACCCATAGAAAGGGCCCCTGATGGAGGGGATGGGGTGATAACAAGAGGCTCCCTTTAGTTTCCCAAGACATAAAGTTCCCAGTGGTTCCCATCACACCTGTTTTTCCTTCCCCAGGATGCATCCAGTACCTTGAACATGTTTGCCCGGGGGTGACATGTCTGGCTGGCTTGGAATGCAATGAGTTCTCCGAGCCGTTAGTTTCCCCACTGGGGGAGAGAGTTGAGCTGTGGCATGGCCTAGAGAAGTGATCATCAGGCAGGGTTCAGATGGTGGGGATGTCCCTCTTGACGGGGCCAAATCTAGGTATTTCTGGCTTCAGAAATGGGCTGCTGGGCCTGTGAAGAAATGAAAGTATCTGGAGCTAATATAATGGAAGGCTCTTGATAATCCAGGCTATTGCCTGACTTTTGTAATCCTTTACCCCAAAATTTGAGGTCTCATTGAAACAGGTCATCTTAAGCAAATGTATTATGGACTTTCAGGGTTGGAAAATAATTCACTGATTGCTTAGTCCTTCCCCACCCCCAGCACACCCCAGCATATGCGAAGATAGGCACTTCTCCCCAAGTACCTGCAAATGATCACCTGTGCCTGCTTGTATACCTCTAACGATAGGAAGCTCACCTGCCATGGCTGGACAGTGCTGGCTGTTAGAAATTTTGTCCTTAGATTGTGCCAAAATCTGTCCTGCCACTTTCATGTGCTGGATATTGGTTGCAAACCCTCCTTCTCACCCAAATGTGTATTTTCGGTTTCAAAGTAGTCACCCTGAGAGGCCAAACACTTATTCTGAAAATAGTATTACTCAGAATTCGGATTTCCCTTTGGGACCAGTCTTCAGAACCAAAGTTAGCTCCCTTCGGTCCCCTGTAAGTCAATCCCCTTTTGTTAGAGCTTCATCTCGTTCATGACCCCACTTCATCCACTTTCCCCACCAGCCATGGTTCCACATGCCTTTTGTCCGTTTTCTTTTGGGAGACTCGTCACCCCTGAGGAGATGCAGAGGAAGGAGACAGGGTCTCTGAGGACATCCACTTCATCCACTTTCCCCACCAGCCATGGTTCCACATGCCTTTTGTCCGTTTTCTTTTGGAAGACTCGTCACCCCTGAGGAGATGCAGAGGAAGGAGACAGGGTCTCTGAGGACAGTGTGCAGCAAGGAGCCCAGGAGTGGTCTGAACCATAACACTGCCCTTGCAGTGGGTGTCCAGCCCCAAGACATGCTCTCAAGGAGGCAGCCTTCCCCTGAAGTACTGTGTCTGGTCATAACTAGCCCGTGGGTCTCCTTGGGGTCCAATTCAGGACAAGAAGCCCCATGCCACTCTTTCCCAGCAGGTGATGAGCTCTGCAGGCCTCAAAACTGTACACTATGATTCATCCCTGGAGTGAGCGTGGGCTTGAGAGTCCCAGAGTCCTCCCCACCGCACAGGGGCCCTCAGACAAAGACAGGGAAGCCTGGCGACAGGGCATCCACAGGAGGTGGACCTAGGAAGGGTCATCCCATCATTATACTCTGAGTAGGGAGCTTGTGCACCAGGCCATGGGCAGTGCCGGGTCCCTTAGGCAATAAAGGCCTTTCTCCCCTACAGTGGGACCCTGGGAGTCTCTGTGACAGCTGTCCCAGGCCACCAGGCTGATGGTACTTGGGAGAGCCCTCCAAGGAAAATGCAGTTTAGACCAAGCAGCAGAAGCTGTGACCACAACGATGTAATGCCTGGAAAAAGTAAGTCATAAGTCACCATTGCCCTTTTTTCCCTCCATAAAACCTTTGTCCATCTCTTTGGTGCTTCCTAATTCAAGCAGCTTGACTTTAGAGAAAGTATGGAAACTGTGAAGCCACTAACATGCTGTGTGACTTTATGACAGTCATTCACCTCACTGAGCCACCTCCGTTTCTTCTTCTGTGAAATAGGCATAACAGTAATACATAACCCTACCTACCTCACAGGGCTGTTGTGAGGATCAAATGAAACAGTGTATGAGAATACAGTACAAATGATACATGATTGTTATTACTTTGTGTCCACTTACAAGTCTTGAGTCAGACTGACTCCGGTTTGAGTCCTGGCTCCATTGCTTGCTGTGTAACCTTGGACAAGTCACTGAGCCTCTGAGATTTGTTTCCTCACTGGGTAACAATCCCCGCCCCCAGGGTTATGCAACATAAATGAGTTGGTGTATGTGAAAATTCCTATGTAGGCCTGGCACCCAGGAGCTCAGTAAGTGCCTGCTGTCTCAGGAGGCAGCAGTGGTGGACTGCTGGACAGGGACGAAGAGTTCCAGGAGAGCACAGTTTCACAAGCTCTTAGAGAGCACTTGGCGTGTGGGCCCTGAGGATGGGAGCAGCCACAAATAAGTTCGGCCTGGAAAAAGCTTACAGCTGTGGGGACTTAGGAGAAGAGCTCAATTTTTCTCAGAAAGGGCTTTATCATGGCCAAGCTGGGCCTTTGAGGGTAGGTTGGATTTTGACAAAATGAGCAAGGAAGGGACGTGGGTGCAGGGAATGGCAAGAGCAGAGACTTGGCGGCCAGGCAGGGAGGGCAGTGGAGGAATGGTGTGCACTGGCACAGCCACGGCATGAGGGGAGTGACAGGTGGTGCATTCAGTGCGTGTCACTGTGCCCACGTCCAGCTCAGGTGAGTTCTACTGTCTGCTTAGCAAAACTGAGAAACAGGGATACTAAGCAGTGCCGGCAGCACGACCCCAGTGGGCAAGTGAGGCAGTGGGTGTGAACCGGGAGTCCGGATGTGCTCCCCTGAGCCCCTCACTGCCCTGAGACCCAACGTTGATCTCGCTCCAACTCAGTTTAGCCTTTTGCACCACCAAGGGTTTCGTCCCGGCTGAAGGGGCAGTTCCAGGCCCACGTTAGCCTGTCATCTCTCTGTTTCTGCCCTAGGTGTGTCTCACACATGCAGAGGGATGGGTCAGAAGGGGTGCTTGAGGGAACCCTAAGGCACCTTGTGACTACTTCGTGAGGACCACCACCAGCAGCTGCCATCTCAGGCACCACTATGTGTCCTCACACCCTCAAGCCCACCAGAAGCCCTTTGCCATTTTATGAATGCCAAGCCTCATGACACTGTTCTGCCTTTGGGCCAGAACTCCCTGTGCAGGGGTGGCCGTGTTCCCAACTTGCCCACCCCCAGTGCTCAACACAGCCCTGTAGCCCTGGATGCAGCCACCTTGTTCTGGAAACTGCTGCGCGGCCTGAATCATAGCGTTTGTGTAATGGCCCGTTTATTCACCCCAAACTTCCAGCTTGCTTTTACAAATTACTCCTAAAAGAGTCGCTTGTGAATGGGGGCTTAGCCGTGCTGAGCCTTGTGCCAGTTGCTTGGCTCACCTGGCCAAACACCAGCCCATCCCCTTCCTGAACTGCAGACCCTTCACACTGACCACCTGGGTCTGCCCGTGTCCCAGGGGGCTCCAGCCTGGCAGGGAACTGAGACCATCTCCCAGAGCAAGACAAGCTGATAACAGGCCCATCAAAGGGAGGGGCTGGGGCTGGTTTCCAGGCCCTACAGGGTCCTGGCTCTGGCAGCTCCATCTGCCCAGAGAGCCCAGTGACCTCAGGCTCCTTTAGAACCTTGGGGACAGTGTGGCAACAGACTGTCTCCACAACTCTGCTGGTGCCACACTTGCCCCAATCTGGGGCACAGGGACCAAAGCGGGCTCTGAGGAGAAACATCAGCCTGTGGAAGCCAGAGGATCACTGAGCACCTATGGCACCAGGACCCCACCCGACACAAAGGATGGCAAACAACCTTTGAGGTGATGCTGCGTGCTCTGACTCTGACTCATGGGCAGAAAGTACGAGCTCAGCCTGGTATATCTCACCGACCACCCCCTTACTCATCCCATTTCCTGCCGACCCCACCCTCACCCCCCCAATATACAGGGCATTTCAAAGCCTTTGTTGACATTTCCCAGTTAGGTGGCAGCCCTAGAGTGTACTAGCACATTCTCTCATTAGGCCAGGTGCCACCCCAAAGCCTAGGTTTCCTTTTGTTTGGGGTGTGTGTGTGTGTGTGTGTGTGTGTGTTTGCGTGCGTGCGTGCGTACATGCGTGTGTGTGTGTGCCACCCCAAAGCCTAGGTTTCCTTTTGTTTGGGGTGTGTGTGTGTGTGTGTGTGTGTGTGTGTATGTGTGTGTTTGCGTGCGTGCGTGCGTACATGCGTGTGTGTGTGTGCTGTAACCAACCGAGTAACCAGCCAGCCCCGTAGGCTTCCTTTTACTAAGGAGTTGGGGAAAGGCCCAGGTGAGCCACATTTTATTTATTTATTTATTTATTTATTTTTGTCTTTTTTACTAACCAGTAATGGGATCGCAACCCTCGGCGTTGCACCCGCACCGCGCTCAGCCAGTGAGCGGGAACCGGTCTCCACATGGGATCCGAACCCTCGGCGGGAGCGCCGCCGTGCTCCCAAGCGGCACACTCTCCAGTGCGCCACCGGGCCGGCCCGAGCCACATTTTAAAATCTTCTAGGGATCCTGCCAGCAAAAGAACAAAGGTTAATGTGTCATGACATGGGTACTCCCACTCCTACCCCAATTAGTTCACTTTACAAATCCTGTATTAGATCTGCTTAGTAGACACCCTTTCGTTTGGCACCTCGTAGGTTGCCAAGCTCCTTCACACCCCCTTTCATGGAAACATAGAATACATGGCGCCATTCCTCACACCTGTCTGGGCAGCCCTCTACTACCTCATCTTTGTAGCAAGCATCTGCTCATCCTTCAACACTGTGGAAGCCTTGCCCCCTTGCCTCCACCAAGCCGAGTCAGTCCCAGCCCCCTCTGTGCCACCCTATACCTGGTGAAGACTTTTATCATCATACTGCTGGGGCTCACAGGCAGTGCTGTACTGGTATAATTACCACCTCTCTTGGGAAAAGCCCTGATTTGTAGTATTGGCCAGTTTCCACGGTGTAAATACTGTCACTCACTGTGATCAATTTCAAGCCACCAATGTGATGTCACTGCCAAACTGGGAAGAGAGGCACACTGTAGGCTCTGGAGGGCCAGAGGAGACAGTTCCAGCACCGTCATCTTTCTCATTGAACTGTGTGCTCAGAAGGGCAGGAGCTGTCTTGCTCTTTGTATCACCAGTGCCTGGTACACAGAACGTGCTTAATATGTTTGTGGAACTTTTGCCACCTGTGGAGCAAGACATTTTTATCCCCACAATGTCCTTTCTCACTGAAACTCCTTGATCAAAAGTCTTGCATAAACTAAAGTAGGGTGAAGAGAGTACAGATTCAGGAGTAAGACTACCTGGAATCAAATCCCAGCTTTGCCATTAAATGGTTATGGGACATTGGGCAAGTTACTTAACCTCTCTGTTTCCTTGTCTGTAGAGTAGAGATAATAGTACCCACCTCATTGGGATGTTATAAAGGTTTGATGAGGTCATACACCTATGGTTTTTTTGAACAGTACCTGGAGTATAGTAAGGAGTAAGTGTTGGAAATTATTATTACAACTATTATGAGGATGATCTTCTGTCCTCATCTTTCACGGCTGTCCTAGTTGCCCACTCCTCAGTGTCTCCTGCATAGTCCATGTGGATTTCCATCTTCCAAACTTTGCCCAAGCCACTCCCACTGCTTGAAATGTCCCACCCTCTCCAGTGACCACAGTGGACACCCCTCTTTCTCTCCACCCACCCTCTCACTGAGCCCTTCCTCCTGCAGTCTTCCAGTGCCCTTCTGGTTGGCATCTCCTTGGGTCTGAGAAACAGATCTCATCACATGTTCTCTCTATAGATCAAATGTTTGTGTCTCCCTAAAATTCATATGTTGAAACCTAACCCCCAATGTGATGGTATTTGGAGGAATGGCCTTTGGATGTAGTCAGGTTATAAGGATGGGGCCCTCATAAGTAAGATTAGTGCCCTTGTAAAAGGGACCCCAGAGGGCTCCTTTGCCCCTTCCACCAGATGAAGACACAGCAAAAAGATGGCTGTGTATGAGCCAGGAAACAAGCCCTCACTGGACACCTTGATCTCGGGCTTCCCAGCCTCCAGAACTGTGAGAAATAAATTTCTGCTGTTTATAAGCCACCTAATTTATGGTATTTTGTTATAGCAGCCCAAATGGAATAAGACATTCACAAACTGTGAAGCACTTGTCGTATGCCATTCTTCCCTAGGGGGGTCTGATGGGAGAGCAAGACAGGTAAACAAATTCCAATATGGTGGTCAATGCTACGGTGGAAGTCTGCTCCAGGTAGAGTGGACCACAAATATAGGATGGCCAGCATTAGCAATAACCCCTCAATGTACATGCCACTTTACAGTTTACAAAGCACTTCACTTCCTTTTCCTCATTTAATCCTCACAACAGGGCTCTGAGAGAAGCTACACAGAAGGTGTATTTTTTTTTTCATAGATGAGGAAACTGAGGTTCAGGGAGGTGAAATGACTTGCCTGTGGTCACACTGCATGTAAGCACAATGCCTGGCACATAGTAGGCCCTTGGCTAATATTAGTTTGAATTAAATGTCATTCAATTTAAGTGGCCAAGTTGAGGTGAGAACCTGTGAAGGTTAATTCTAGGTGTCAACTTGATAAGAATAAGGAATGCCTTAGGCCGAGCCCGTGCCACGGGTTCAGATCCTATATAGGGATGGCTGGTGCTGCGGTGCAGCCGGTCTCAAAAAAAAGAATAAGGAATGCCTAGAA